TCCTCCTCCTCGTCCTTCTCCTCCTTCCTCCCTCCAACTTGTGGTGGTGGCGCTGGAAAACAAAGCCCAACTCGATGCCGGGACCCCTCCCGGGGCTCCGGCGCGCGAGCTTTCTCCGAGCCGCGCCCCGCCCTGGTCCACGGCAGGGCCCACCCGGATCGAGGGAGCGGCCCGATCGAAGGAGCCACGAGTCGTCCACATAGACATCCCTATATATATATATATGTATATATAAATACACACACAAATTCCACGTGTGTGCCCAGGCTCATCAAAAAAACGGAAAGGGTGCTTGAAGCAGGAGAAGAGGAGGAGGATAGCTGCTGGGAGAGGAGTGCAATAGCCAGGTCGCGCTCGAGCGCAAGTGGGGTTGCCACACCTTGCGATGTGTGTACCAGGGCCCCCCAAGAAGCCTCGGGAGGCCCGACTTGGATACCGGAAGAGGCTACAGGAGGCCCCAGGATTGTGTGTGTTGTGTGGTCGTGTGTGATGTGTGCTCTGTGTTGTGCGTGTTTTCTGTGCGTTGTAGGTGTTGTGTGTGTGTGTGTGTTAAGTTTGTCTAGTGTGTGATGTGTTGGGTGTGATTTGTGTCTCTGTGTGTGCATGTAGTTCTGAGGCCCCAGGAGGCCCCAGGAGGCCCCAGGCGGCCTCAGGAGGCCCCAGGAGACCCCAGGAGGCCCCAGGAGGCCCCAGAAAGCCCCAGAAGGCTCCAGGCGGCCGCAGGAGACACAGGAGGTTCCAGGAGACCCCCAGGAGGCTCCGAGGCGGGGTCTGGGGTACCAGAAGGTACAGAAAGCCCCAGGAGGCCCCAGGAGGTTCCAGGAGGCCCCCAGGAGGCTCCGAGGCAAGGTCTGGGGTACCAGAAGGCACGTCGGGGCTCCATTTTGGGAGAATGTCTCAGGCGAAATCGCCATTCTCTGACAATCGGGGTCAAAATCATTGAAATTACTATGTGTTGTTGAAGGTTTTACGTTAGAGTCTTGAAATTCCTATGTGTTTTTGGACCCTGACGTCACGATCTGCATGTGGGGTGCCACCGATTTTCAGAATTTCGAGGATGTCCCGAGCGAAACGGCCAGAACAATCGCGGACGCGGCGCCCCGCGTACGCATTAATCGCCTCTGAGCTCTACTCCCTCGGAGAGTTGCGTGTCAGAATATATCTCTATGTATATCTGTATATATGTATTTATATATATATATACATACCTAATCCCCCGCATCTGCGGACAAGGGAGAGGGTGCTTGGCGGCGCTCTAAGACGCCACGGCGCGCTCGCTGCTAGCGGGATGTGAGCCGCAAGCGCTGCGGAGCCGCCGCCCCTCTTCGGTGAGCCCTCCGAGCGTGCCAGGCGTGGCCCCCCAGCGTGGCCTCCCAGCGTGGCCTCCACGCGTGGCCTCCCAGCGTGGCCGCCAGAGATACGACCCCAAGACAGACGAACGCGAGCAGGAACGGAGCAAGACTGCTCGGGCACCCTCTCTCTGATGTGGGTATAGGTTTATAGACATGTAGATCTGCACATATGTATATATATGTATATATATGTGTATATATATATATGCACATACATCTACATCTATATACGTACAAATCTACTCTAGGTGGCGACATCGCAACCCTATCCCGACCAAACATTACTTCTCCTGAGTCGATGGGGGACGGGGGTAGGATTCGGATTGCGCAGCGCGTTCGCCGAATTCCGAGCCCTACCCCCCCGCGCCCAGCCTGAGTCGCTGATCGGCGAAGGATTGGTGCGGACTTCGCCGCCGACGTTGAGAAAACCGAGCAGTACCGATAATACCGCTACTCCCTGGACCTCTCCCGAGGTGCGTCCTGACCAGAAGTTCGAGGTGCATCCAGCCGTGGCGCCGCTTGGCCTCCCAGGAGGCCCAAGGAGGAGGAAGACGTGGCAAGGGCCGCGCGAGGCGAGGCAAGGGCCCAGAGTTCGCCGCCGATGCTCTTCGTACTTGCCTGCACCGCTGCCTCGGCCCGCCCTTCCTGCGCGAGGCGCCGACGCTACGCGACGCGACGAGGAGGAGGAGGAGGACGAGAACGAGGAGGAGGAGGAAAGGAGGAGGAGGAGGAGGAGGAGGAGGAGGAGCAGGAGGGGGGAGGAGGAGGAGGAGGAGGAGCAGGAGGGGGGAGGAGGAGGAGGAGGAGAGGGGGAGGAGGAGGAGGAGGAGGAGGAGAGGAGGAGGAGGAGGAGGAGGGAGGAGAGGCAGCGCTCGGCGCGAGGCGCCCCGCGAGCTGCGGGCTCCCCGCACGGCGAGGCAGCCGCTCGCCCGCGCGACGCGCGCCGGCCGAGCTCAGCGCCTCGCGCGGGCGCAGCGCGCCGCGCCGCGCCGCGCCGCGCCGCGGTCGCCCGAGGCGCGGCCGCGCCGGGGGCCGCCACGCTTCGGCGCGCAGCGTCCGTGGGCCGCGCGGGGCAGCGCGCGGCCTCGGCGGACGGCAGACGGGGGAGGAGCACTCTAGCGAGGGCAGCGAGGGCGACGACGACGAGGGCGACGAGGGCGGCGAACGCGACGAGGGCGACGACCGGGACCTCGATGGTGACGACGCGGACGATGACGGCGGGGACGGGCGGGTCGGGCGGGCGGACCTGAAGGAGCGGGCGCGCCCTGACGGGCGGGCGGCCAGGGATCTGGGCTGGACGGGGCCCCTGAAAATCAATCAAGAGGGGGCGGACGAGGCCAAATCTGCCGAAAATCAATTTCCAAATCCACCCTGTGGCCCTATATGGTACAACTATTTGCTCCGGATCCGTTTTCCCTTGCCTTCCTGTGGTGTTGGGTCCTCGTTTTGAAGAGGCAGCGCCCTGCGTTCCTCACCTCCTTGTCCCCTCCTCCCTCCCCTGCCTCTGCTTTCCGCATGTCGGCCAATTCGGCACACCACTCACAAGTTTCGTGGCCCCAAACAGTGCTCAACCGAAGGCCACAGCGGCACAACCCGCGTGGCGAACCCGCGCCCGACCACATCCCGTACACGCTTCGCGGTTCTATGCGGATCTCCAGCGAGGGCCCTAGCGGCAGTCCGCATGGCACACCCGCGTCCAAATTGGCACACCCCACCACACGCTTGGTGCCCTCACAGGGTCCTCGACCGAACGCCACGGTAGCACAGTCCGCATGGTGCACACGCGTCCAATTCTGCGCACCCCATCACACGCTTCGTGGCCCCACGGGGAGCTCCAGCGCGAAGGCCCCAGCGGCACAATCCGCATGGCTATACCCGCACCCGGTCCGGCGCACCCCTCAAACGCTTGGTGGCCCCACCGGGAGCTGCAACGAGAACCCGTGTGGCGCAGTCCGCACGGTGTACCCGCGTCCGATTCGGCACACCCCATCACACGTTTCGTGGCCCCACAGGGAGCTCCAGTTAAGTCGGGCTTGTCCCTCTACAGGCGGGAAATTCAAGAAAGTCTAAAAATAACCAGGGGACGATTCTCTTAGCATGTTTTGACTATTATTGAATTTTCTGTCACTGTCTATATTTTCCGTCCAAAATCCGCCTGTCCGACCTAAAGCTCCAGCGAAGGCCCCAGCGGCACAGTCCGTATGACTTACCCGCAGTGGATTAAGCACACCCCTCGCACGTTTCGTGGCCCCACAGGGAGCTCCAGCGAAGGCCCAAGCGGCACAGTCCGTATGGCGCACGTCTGCAACACCCTTACACGCAAAGTGGCCCCAAACAGTGCTCCACCGAGGGCCCCAGTGGCACAGTCCGCATGGCGCAACCGCGCCCGATCCAGCACACACCCCTCACACGTTTCATGGCCCCATAGGGGGGTTCCACCTGAAGCCCCAGTGGCAGCGCCCGCATGGCGGCCCTGCCCCATTCTGGTACACCCTTCAGACGCTGCGTGGCCCCGTGAGGGGATCCACCGCAGGCGGTACTCACAACGACCGTACCCACAAGTTCATATCTTGGGGTCCTTCGCCAGATGAACTCACGGTACTAAGCCCGAGAACGGCCCCTGGAGACCGAAAGAAGCAGGAGACCTTCCCAGACCCAGAGCCTCGAACCTCTTCCACCCTTCCATGGTCGCCAGAACCAGTGCTGTGCCTCCTCACTCCCGCAGCCAGCTCCAAACGGACCTCGCCTATGCACCAAACATAAGCTAGCAAGTTCAGCATCGCAGGACTCTCCGAATTCGGGCGCGGCGGCTCCCATTTTACTACTGCCCAGGTCCCGCTGCCCAAGGCTTTCCGCCGCGCAGCGGAGGAGGGGGGCGAGGGGGCAGAGGAAGAGGGAGAGGCCAAAGAGGAGGATGAGGAGAGCAGGAAGCAGGAGCGGGGGGAAATTCCAAGACCGATGAGGATGAGGAGGAACGTCACATAAACATAACTAACATAGCAATAGATCGGAGGAATCAGCGGGGTCATAGACGCAGAGAGGAGGAGATTGGCGGATGCGATAGGGCAAGCAATAAGCATCACGACGTCATTACAAATAGTAATATTGATCAAGTTGGTTTCTTCCCACCCAAGGGTCTAACATGACAGAAGACAGCTGGCACTGGCGAACAGGATAATTCGAGCGTGAAGAATGGCGACAAGAAGTGCGGCGGAACATAATCAAATCAGGGGAGGGAGCGAAAGAGAGAAAGAGAGAGAGAGAGAGAGCGCTACGAGAGCTGGTGGACTTCAAAAGGGGCTAGCGAAGAGGAGGGCGTTGGACACCACCCTGTGCTCATCAGACCACCCCCACCAACACAGGATGGACAAAATGGGGGGGGGGGGAGGCCGGAGGGACTGCGCCGCGAGCTCCTCGCCAGCCCCTGCTGCGACTCCCCCGAGCAAGGGCTAGGGGGACGGTGCAGCTTCTGGCCCTGGGCCTGTGTATGTACACCTGCGCCACGGGCAGCGCCTCCGCTCTCCACCTCCGCGCTCCGCCTCCGCGCTCTCCGCCCCCGCGTGGCTGCGGCCCCCTCGGCGACGTCCGGGGCCGCGCAGCCCCCCGCACTGCGCAGGAGCCGGCCGGGGGCCCGGCCCCGCCCCCTCCTCAGAGCGCGGGCGCCAGCAGCCGCTGCGCCTCTGCGTGGCCGTTGCTCCGGGCAATGTCCAGGGCCGACAGCCCCTGATCACGGGGGGCGGCCGGGGCCGGCTGGGCCGGCTGGGCCCACGTCGGCGGCGCGAGGGCGAGGGAGAACGGACCCGAATCGCCGACGATGTGGATTTCGCAAGCATGGCGTTTTCCCCTGACTGCGGCTTTGGGGGGCCCGTGTTCGAGCCCTGGCGCCGCCAGGCATTGATCAGGGCCAAGATACTGGCCCTGGGCGAAGGGTTGGGACCTCTTGAGCCGCGCATTGAAAGACATCATATCGTCGCCTGCCTGGATATCGGGGATAGCTGGCTGGAGGGGGGACACTGAGCCCGGGTCGGTGATGAATCGCTCAGGCAGCTCGGCGATGGCCCCGAAGCTTCATGACACCACAGGGTGACGAAAGGTGCGTGACGACCCACCGCCGACCCACCGGCGACCCAACCCGCGACCCACCCGCGACCTACCCCGCGGCCCACCCGCGACCCACCCGCCACCCACCCCGCGACCCACCCCGCGACCCAACCCGCGACACCCCGCGACCCACCCGCGACCCATCCTGCGACCCACCGCGCGACTCACCCGCGACCCACCCGCGACCCACCTGCGACCCACCCACGACCCCACCCGCGACCCACCCGCGAACCACCCCCGCGACCCACCCTCTACCTACCCGCGACCGATCCACATTGGTTTGACGAAAAAATCGGCGCCTGCGGCGGGCTCGTTGCATAATCTGTAAAACTTTGGCGCCTGCGGCGGGCTTCTCCAGTGTCTTGCAGACTGCCGACGTCCCCACCGCCCCCTCACTCTTATCCGCATCTGCGGGGTGCTACGTATGCATGCTTGCTATTCTGGAAGAGTGGTTGCCACTTCGCCTCACGCTGTGAACGCCCTGAACGACATTGGCCAAATCCTCGGAGTTCTCTCGGCGTGTGAAATGGAAGCCTTCTCGGACCGGTTTTCGGTTAGCGGTGTCCTCCTTAACGGCGTATGCGGATTCATCTGCCCCAGACATGTTCCTGGTGGCGCCGACTTTCCACCAGTTGGTCTCAAGATGAACCAAAAAGGGCCCCAAGACGGCTCACCAGGGCCCCAAGACGGCCAACGAGACTTGCAGCTGACACAAGTTCGTTCCTCATCTTGCTGCTCACTCTTGTCGCGAGTGATCTCCTCTGAGGATATATCGGATAAATCGGATGTACCCCGCGTGGGACTTGCAACTGACACGAATTCGTTCCTCACCTTGCTGCTCATTCTTGTCGCGCATGATCTGCTCGCTTGCTTGGGATGCCACCCTTTGAGGACATATCGGATCTATCCCAAAAGCCCGGGGGCTCCGAAGGGACGCCGGGCTGTTTCGGCGCTCTCGCGGCGTGGGCCTCGGAGGTCCTTTCCTCGGTGACGGCCCTCTGGTCGCGGTCATCTCCGACGCGAGAACAGCCCCTGAGCGCCGAGAGAATGATGACACAGAAAGATTCGAGGCTTCGTTCCGCGGCACATGGGCGGCCCGCCCAATTTCGCGGTAAGCCCGACCCCGAAACCTTCGCGGACGCCACCCAGGCCCGTCTTTTGAGCTGCGGCCACCATCCTGACCCCCCTCGAACTTTCAACCATCCTCCTCCTTCTGGCCCCCACCGAAGCTGGCGCGGCTCGTTCGAGCGGGGACGGGCCTGGGAGTTCCTGTCCTCAGCGCACGCCTTGTGCTCCAGCAGCAGTCTGCGTGTCGGGGGGGGGGGGCCGGCAGAGCCCCCTCCACCCATCACCGGGCTGCGAGGATCACCCCTTCTCCTTCCCTCCGCCCGTCTCTCCCCCTCTCTACCTCTCCTCCTCTCCCTCCTTCCTCCAGCGCTCTGCCATCGGGCCCGCTGCCTCCCACGCACATGGGACGGCACTCCCTCTCCTGCATCCTCTTCCACCTCCTCCTCCTCCTCCTCCTCCTCCTCCTGCTCCTCCTCCTCCTCCTCCTCCTCCTCCTCCTCCTCCTCCTCCTCAATTACACGATTGCACGCACAGGTCTGAAGGCCGAACACGCAAACATCAATGTGGCGAGGGATAACGAAGGAAGCGCCCGGATGAAGCCCAAAGGCAAAAAAAAAGAGGGAGGACGCAGGGACGAATGAGACGGGTGCTGCTAATGAGCCGCATCCCCCAGGAGCTCCGGGATGCCCGCGCCCGCCCCATGGACCCCTTGGCCATGGGCGGCTGGATCGCCTTGGGCCTCCGTGCGGCCCATCGGGGGCGAGGGTGGCCCACGGCCTTCCAGGAGCGTTGCTGGCCTTGGGCGGCGAGCGGGGGCGTCGGCCGCGGGAGTGCAGCCTCGCTGCGCGATGTGGCAAGCCCGCCTCCCCGAGCGGGCCCCGTCGTCGCCCCCCATCTCTCCCCTTTGTGGGCCCCGGGAACGGCAAGGCCGTTTTTTCACCTTTTCCAGAAAATGTCCTTTGAAAATGGAAACGGCAAAAAAACGGCGACCGGAAAAGGCAAAAAAACGGTTCCAAGATTGGAACCGGACCCGGAACTGGTCAAAAAACGGCGACGGAACCGGTAAAACAACGGCGTCGGAACCGGCAAAAAAAACGGCAGCACGGAACTGGTAAAAAACGGCCCTGTCGTTTCCAGGGCCCACTAAGTCTCTCCCCGTGATTCCTCCATCCCCGCCCACCCTTTGTGAGGAGCACGGCAGCCTCACGTCCTGCCTCGCATCTCGCGCGCGCGACAAGTTGACACAAAAAGGCAGGAAACGGGAGATGCAAGAGGCCGCCCTCGGCAACCAGAGAAGCCCAGGGGGGGGGGGTCACCACGAGCCCACGCCACACCACCAGCGCACGCACCCGAAATATTCGATAAACCAAATGGATGCGCTGCTCAGGGAGGCGCTTCGGCCGAGGGACTGCGACGCCGTCCTGGCGGTGCACTGAGAGAGGTCGTGCGCGAGGAGAGGGCGCGAGAGAGAGGCCGCCTCCCCCCCCTTCGCGGCCCGAGCGAGCCGTCGTTGTCAGCTGGAAAAAATCGCCCGGGGGAGGGCCGACTCCTCGCCGCGGTGGCAGGGAATCTTCCTGGGACTAGCATTTCCCGTCTCTCCTCGTCCCCCCTCAGCCCACACGACTGGTCCCCAACCTGAGTGCGGATGGGAATGGGGGGCGAGGGCGAGGGGAGGAAGGGAATGGCACGACTGGGCCCCATGCTACAGGCATCGAGGCTGGGGACGAGAGCGGGGGAGGAAGGAAATGAAGGATTAAGGGATGAGGGGGGGATGCTGGGGCCATCAGGCCTGCACGGGTGCCTCTTGTGGCCAGGGATCCCATGTGGGAGAAGCTGCGAGCCCACGCGTTGCATCCTGCGCCAGCGAATGCATGGTTGCCTTTTTGTTCTTGCGCCTGCCTCGAAGATGTGGCGCGAAGCCTTGCCCTCCGGAGGGGCAAAAAGGGGCAACGTCAGAAGCCTGCTTCAGGGTGTGTGCTGCGTCGGGCGTGCTGCCAACAGCCTCCAACAGCCTGAGAGGCGCAGGCTCGGCCTCGTCTGGTTCCGCCAACCCGGTCTGGCCAGCACCGCAGCTCTCCTTGCAGCTCAGCGTCTGTGACCTCTGGAACGGGCGGGTGGTCGCCGCCCTCCGCCGCGTCGTCCCTCTGCTGCTCCCCGGAATGCGCCTCGGGAACGCCGGACGCGTCATATTCCGCATCGCAGGCCCTCCATCTGCCGCCGCTGGCGTCGAACACCACGGGCCCTGGCGAATGACCAGGCTCCGAAACTGTGTCGCAAGCCTCAAGTCGGACGTGTCCCTCTACGAGGGGAATAAACACAAATAGTTAGAACATAATATGGGGACGATCTTTCATCAGTTTAGACCATTTATGGTTCATGGGTTGTTCTGAGTACTTGTAATGTTTCATCCAAAATCCCCCTGTCGGAAGACTGGCCCGACCTAACGCAAGCCTCGGCTGCGTCGGACGAGCCCATCGAGCCCTCAAGGTCCTCGGTAATCAAAGGCCCCTCTGTGCCAATGCCATCCCGCACTGGCCTGCGCAGCGCCTCCAGCACACGGTCGCCAAACCTGCCTGGAGGATGTGCCAGCGCCCCGCATCCTGCTCGCCAGCTGTTGAAGCGCTTCGCCAGCTCGACGTTGCCCCGGTGGACGAGGCCGACCCTGACGTCCTCGGACGTGGCCTTTCTGGGCAGCCGAAGCACGTTGGCAGCGTCCCTCAATACGCGCTGGAATTCGCCGAGGGGCTGGCCCGTCAGCACCACGTCGACGTCTGCACGGCCGCCCAAATCTGCATGAGCTCAGCAGCGGCCTGCACCGTGCCGCGATGGGCCACACAGTATGCATGCCGTATGACTCTTTTTGCTCCCATGGACGAGTAAAGCTCGAGTCCGAAGCCAGACAAGTACAGTATGCAAAGTGTACTGGAAACGCTTCGAGCCCAAATGGATACGGACCCCCTCCTCCTCCTCCTCCTCCTCCTCCTCCTCCTCCTCCTCCTTCTCCTCCTCCCCCTCCCCCTCCGCCCCCTCCTCCTCCTCCCCATCCTCCTCACCATCATAATCTTCGCCACACTTACCAGCAACAACATCATCATCATCATCATCATCAGCATCATCATCATCGTCATCACCATCCTTATCAACCTCATAAACAACATCATCATCAACAACACCACCACCATCATCATTAAAATCATAACCAACAGCATCACCAACATCATCATCCCCATCATCAGCATCATCATCACCATCACCACCACCACAACCACCATCATCATCAGCAGCATCATCATCCTCATCATCATCCTCCTCCTCCCGCTCATCATCATCATCATCGTCATCATCATCATCATCGTCATCATCATCATCACCATTGTCATCGTCATCGTCATCGTCATCATCATCATCGTCATCATCGTCATCATCATCGTCATCATCATCGTCATCGTCATCGTCATCATCATCATCATCATCAGCAGCATTCCTCCTCCCCCGCTCCTCCTCCTCCCCTGCGAGCTGCCGCCTGCGGGCGGCGAAACCCAGGCCTGCACCGAGGGCAACACGGAGGCTAAAAAATCAGCTCGGGGCGCGAGGCGCCGCCCCTAGTCGGGGAGCGGAGGAGCGGCGCGCCCGCAGCGAGGCACGCGGGGGCAGCCTCGCGCAGGGGAGGCCGAACGTGCCCCACGAGGAGAGAATGCAGGAGGAGGAGGAGAAACAGGAGGAGGGAGGAGAGGAGGATAAGATAAGACACGACTGTGGGCCCGCAGCTCTGTCTTGTCTGCTGAAAGCGGCAGCGGGCAGCGGCAGCTAAGAGGGGCCGTGTGGCCACGATAGCAACAGCTCTCGGCGCATGCCGAATATGGAAGAAGCCTGAAAATCGAGGGATTGCGATTTTAAACTTCGAAAGCGTTTAAATCCAGAGCGCGCCCGTCGGACGACAATAAATTGCCACGTTGATCGAGCAGGGCCCAACGGGCCCTGACGGACCGAAAAGCTAGGCCCCAGGGACACGCGCACTGACGAGTGGAGCGCGAGCGAACCCAGAGCAGACGGGGACAATACGGCCCCTGGAGGCCGAGCAAGGAGAACCCAGGGGCCGAGGACGGGCGAGGAGAGCCAGGAGGCAGGAGGCGAGGAAAGCGAGGGGAGAGGGGGCAGCGGCAACAGCAGACGAGGGGCCCCCAGGGTCGGCGGATGTGATTTGTCAGAGGCTCACCCAGCAGCGAAAGCTGCGACATATGAAGAACGGGCCAGGCCTAGATCAGCGCGCCGCTCAGGAGGGGGTAGGTGTCATTGACATCAAAAGTGCACAGCGTGTCCCACAAGGTGTAGACAAGGAGGCTGGCGCCAACAACATCTATGAATATGGAGTTGCTCCCGCAGCGGTGGTCAAGGTAGCCCGTGAAAGTGATATGTATGATGCAGCCGCAGCCGTAGCACAACACCAGACCAGCACCACTATCCGCACGAGTCAAAGTTAAAGTCAAGCGCGGTGTGAAGACAGGCCGATGCCGCACACGCTGCGCGCCGCCACAGTGTGAAAGCCCAGGGATGCCAGTTCGAGCTGCCAGCAAAACAAGCGACGTGAACCTGGACGAACCAGGATTTTGCCAGTTCGAGCTGCCAGCAAAACAAGCGACGTGAACCTGGGCAGACCAGGATTTAGCCAGTTGAGCTGCAGCAAAACAAGCGACGCGAACCCAGCCGCTGGCGCACCAGCACTGGGATTTGCCAATCAGCCACAGCTCATCAGGCGCTCTCCTTAACGTCCACGGCGTTTTGAATGATCTCCTCCATTGCGCCTGGTGGCGCCGCGCCCATGGCTCTGCGAGCCCCGACCTCGGCCAGCGCTTTTTGGAGCAGGCTGCGGACGAGCGTGGGCGAAGGCAGCAGCTGCTCGTCGGACTCGGGCGAGGGCGTCTCCATCGGAACTTCCCGAAGCATGATGTGCACCTTGCGCTTGGTCGGGTCGAAGCACCTCATGATCCGAAACAGCCGAAGAATGTTGTAGAGGTCCTCCTGTCCGAGCTCCACCCACATCTTGTCGTGCCAGAGCTTGAGCTGCGCGTGCGTCCGTTGTCCCAGCGCGACTCCACGCTCGAGCAACTTGTCTAAAAAACCAATTGAAGATATGCAGGTGAGGTGGACCCAGCTGGTGGCCTTTCCCGCGGGCTCGGACTTCTCGTGAATATGTCGCCCCGCACTCGAGGCCCGCGACCACCTCTGGAGCGCCCGCG